TTCGTATTTTGCTTCACTGTCAAACATCTTCGATCATTTTACCATGAATCGATTTACAAACGAAGAGAGTATAGAGTATAGAGAATATAGAGAGAAAATCGATCGAAGTCGAGAGAGAGCACATCTTTAATTAGTATAAAAACAAAACGAGCAAAAACCGCATTTTTTGGTTTCGCTCGAATTAGGGGGAGCTTTGCTTTGCTCTATATAGAGTGGAAGCAAAATTAGTTCGAAAACGAGCCAATTCGATTCTACTTTGATTTTTTACACGATCACCGCACTCTCTCACCACTCACAGCAGCATCAAAAACAGTTGGCTGTTACACACCCGCACACAAATCGACAAACAAAATATTTGTTTCCACTCGCTTTCACCATTAGAGCTATCTCTACTTTTTGAAACAGGAGTGACTCGGAAGCGCTCCCATACAGACAAACAAGTGAAGAGTAAACTCCATATAAAACTCCCGCTCTTCGAACAAACCCATTCGCGTGCAAGTTTCAATCCCAAGTGAAATCGAGCAAATTAGAACTAAATGACGGACCAAATTCGCAGCTGCATCGGCCTGTGTTAATGATTAGTCTCGGTTGGAAATTTTGCGGAATATTTTAGGTGTAAAGCCTTTCAAAATACAGCTGGCGCACGAAGTAAAACAAGTAGACCCTCCACCATTTTGAAGAAACATGAAACATTGAAAAAAAATCCGCAGAAAAATACCTCTCAAATGAAACCCTTTATATGGGGTTTACACGAATTTTTTTCATAGGCTGCAAATACAAAATTTGAAATAATTCCAGTGAGTAAAGCCGCTTAAACGATCAATACCGAATATCGAGAGGTATCGTTATATGGGGGCTATACGAAGACGTGAACCTGACTTCGAAGATGTGAACCTGACAACAATTTTTTGTCATGGGCTTCAGTACCTATTATAAAATACGATATTTTAAGCAATTCCGGTAAAAAATATAGCAAAAATCATAAACATACCGAATATTGGGAGGTACTGTTATATTTCGGCCTATATGGTCCATGGCCCATTTACGAACATAACCCTACAAACTTACGCTAATCAAGAATACATATACTTTGCTGGCTCTGCATGAGTATTTCGAAGGGTCACAAACAGAATGACAAAGTTAATACACCCTCCATAGAACGACGGAGGGTATAAAAACGAACATATGGGCTCATGGAATGAATGCGAAAATCCATTTTTTTGGCTTAATGCGTACGTAATCAAGCAGAATTGTCAATTTTGGAGTGAAGATAAGTCAGATGTATTGCAAAAGCCATAAATCCAAAAAAATTCACCGTTTTGGGCAGTTTATGGGCTGGTAGCATCATTGCATTCTACTTCCTCAAAGGTAACTGTGAATGGCGAGCCCTACCATGAGATGATAATCAACTTTTATTGGGCAACAAGACGATGCCACATTCCACACAAACACCATCCGCAACAATAGACTTATTGAGAGCCGAGCTCGGTAAACATTTAATTTCACGTTTGGGACCCGTCAACTGAACGTTCAGGTCGTGCGATGTGACGCCTTTGCACTTCTTTTGTGGGGCTATGTTAAAGATCATATCTGTTTCGATTGATGCATTGAAAGACAACATTAAAGCATTTATTTATGATTTACCGGAAAAATTGTAAAGAATGTGCCAAAATGTTATTAAGCTGATGGACCACTTGTGATACAGTCTCGGTCAACATTTGCATTAAATAACCCCCAAACATAAAATTATATGAACCCTACTATCAATTCAAATACAAAATCTATGCATTTTCTGAATTCTATGTGCTTTTTGGGAAAGCTTTCCTAGCTCTTAAAAAATCACCCTAAAAAATTGAAATCCAAAGTCAAATTTTGGACTATCCGCTTCTGCAGTTGAAAGACTCACATCTTACTACAAATACACGTTGGAATCAAGTTATATGTATCGATCCTAAAATGATCGCTTCCATCTTCTGAGTGTGTGAGAGAGAGAGACAACACATTGTGACTGAGACAATATATTTTATTCTATTTGTTTACTATCAAATAAAAAACCAACACCTGCTAATTAAATAGATGCCGTAACAAATTGTAACCGCAACCAAGCCAAACAGATTTGTCACGTGATCTTTTCTCTATTCTTTACAAAAATGTTATCTAAGCCGATTATAGAATGAAACACGATATTTAAAATTAACAAAAGAGAAAAGGAGAAAAGATATGTGGATTAAATAGTCAAGCAAATACAGATAGTCCTAATGTTTCAAGGATACATGGAGCTCTTGGAAATCCAGAAAGAAATATCGAAATGAATCCTGTTTTTTTTTTTGTTTTCTCTTCCTTTGATTAATCGAAATGGTAATGCTTATCATGTGTTTTCGGACTGAGATATTTTTTCATTTGATCTATGCCGCACAAGCGATAGCCATTGTCGTAGCACACAATTCATTGATTGCTATGAAATTAGTCAAAAGTGTTGACAAGGTTATTACCAAAAAACTCGCTTCCCACATGTCGTCACAGCTATTGTCGCTATGGCCATATTAAAAATAAACAATTTTTAAAGCGGTCTTCTTAAAATAAGTCATTAATGAAAGTGATATCACAAATCTCCAGAAAATATATTTTCATTTTTTTCTGAATTTTCGGAAAATTGTATATATATACATCAGACTGCTGTCATTTCTAACCCACAGCTGTTAAAATTATTCCAGTGGCAGCACATTATATTGTTTACAAGCGTACAAAAGCATTTTGGTCAGAATTTTCCAGAAAAAAAGTTATTTTTTATATTTGGCTGGAAAACCACAACTGGCTATCGTTAGAGCACTCAAGCACTGAAATGTGAATAAATCTTTTATGTCTCGATCCATCGCTCGTTACCGTGATACTGTCATGACGTCAAGGCAGTGGATGGAAGAAAACAGCAACATCAGCGGAAATGGTTCGAAGTAGTAGTAAAGAAGCGATTTGATAGAAAACCCGCGTTACAGTGGCCGAAAAATGGCTTGTGTGCTGAACATATCGCAATATTCCATTCTGCAAATATTGGAAAATGAGCTCGGGGTAAAGTCATTGAAATTCCAAAAAGTGCAAGAACTTACACCGCAACAGAAAGAAAATAGACTTAAAAGAGCTAAAGAGTTGCTTCACTTTTTCCGAAAGTAGTGAAGTGCCAAATTTGGTTTTCTCCGATGAGAAAATATTCGTTGTCCAGCAGTTTGTAAACAAACAAAATGATCGTGTATACTCGCCAAAAAGGTCAGCTGAAAATGTGCACCTTCGGTTGGCCACCAGAACTCAAGCGCCGGCCAAGTGATGGTGTGGGCCGCAATAACAGCCGATGCTCGCTCTCCGCTCGTATTAATCGACCTTGGCATCAGAATAAATGCCGAATTTTATCGCGAAAATATTCTGGAGGGTGTATTAAAGCTTGCGGGACGCAAACATTTTGGCCGCAGACCTTGGGCATTCCAACAGGACTTAGCATCATCGCACTCAGCACGAACGATTGCAAACCATGGTTACAAAATACCAAGAATGGTTAAAAAATGAGGTTCCTCCACTTCATTTCCAGCGGACAATGGTCACCAAAATCTCCGGATACCAATCCGTTGGACTATTGTGTTTGAAGTATTTTGGAAAGCAAGGTTGGCTCTAAAGAATACCAAAGTGTCGAACCCCTAAGTAAGCGCTTCGACCGGAATGGGCCAAAATATCGCAGAGCTATATTCGTGCAGCGCGTGACGGTTTCATTTGGCGGTTTGAAGGCCATAATTCGTGCCAAAAGTGACCAATTCAAACAAATCTAAACTTATTCTAAAATTTAATGCTATTTCCGACATTTTTTTGCTTTCATTCAATAAAATTTAAAAAAAAAATAAAAATTATGGCTTTTGATTTTGTTGCAGTTTTTTATCTCACCCTGTATTTTTGATCAGCGTAAAATTCAAAGGCGATTTAGCCTTGTCCGTCCGTCTGTTGTTATGACGCTAGAGTCAAAATGAATTAAGATATGAATTTTTGTCTGCAGACAGGTCAAGTCCAAAAATGGGCTACATCGGTCCATGATATCACATAGCCCACATATAACAATACCCCCGATATCCTGTATTTTGATGATTGTAGCAAAATCTTTGAATGGATTTGTCTGAAAATCTACACAAGGAGGTCTTTCTATGTAGTTTACCCCCCATTCAACGGTACCCCTCCCTATATTCGGTATTTGGTTAATTTTAGGAACATTTTTATATATTACAGCCTATGACAAAAAATTGCGTATTCAGGCCCACGTCTTTGTACAGCCCCCATAAACGTTAACTCCCTATATTCGGCATTTTGATGATTTTTGAAACATTTGAATTGTTTTAAATTTCGTATTTGAAGTTCCTAATAGGTACTACAGCCTGTGACATGAAATTGTCTATGAAAGTACAGGTGTTCGATGAAAATTGCCAAATTCGATTCAAATGGTGGAGGGTATTCAAACTTGTTTTGCGATAAATTAATCCTACAACTCGAGAGATCAAACACACATTTATTTAATTGAAGATTAGTTCTTCGTTCAATTTTGCATGCAGAGACTTCAAGCATCAGAAAAGGCAGAGATGGGTATGATTTTTTACCTTCTTAATTGTACCGTGGGAATTTTTGGTTTTGTTATTGTCATATATTTCCACGTTTTGGTATAGCCCCTTTATAATTTTAATGGCAGATTTTAATAAATTTGGATGATTTTGTATTTTGATTTGATTTTAGATGAAATTCTCTGTAAAAATCCACTCCCCACATACATTTCGATGATTTTTTTAAATAATTATCTCAAACTTGGCATTTGGAGTTCGTAATAGACACTGTCTTCTCTGGCAGATCATTGCCTATAGAGGTTCTAACATCAATAAAAGCCCTAACCTTTAAAGGTAAGTCAACACACAACTATAATTCCTATCTCAAGATATATTTTACAAAACTAACTATAATTGAATTTCACCACCACTTACCTTTTGCAGCGCTCATCAGATCCTTGACCTCCTTGATGATGCGTTTTATCTGTTGACTAGTGTGATCCAATTCCTTTTCGTGGCGATTCAAATTGTCGCGAAATTCTGGACTATCGACGATGCATTCCTCGAATTCGAGGGGTTCTAAGCCGCGACGGGCATCCTTGGTGCCCCCGCCCATTTTGCCGCTGCGATTGTTGTTGTTATTGTTGTTGTTGTAATTGCCGTTGCTGGAAGAGCGGCCAACCAGGCGATGGGATTTCGATTTGGATTTCAGGCCTTTTTTGGATGATGCCGACAATGGTGGGGCAATTAGATGATTGGGTGATGAGGCGGATTTGGAGAGTTTGTAGCCGCCGTTGTTGTTGTTTTTAGTGTTAATGTGAATATAATGCAAGTTATTGTTATTATTGTTGTTGTTATTATTATTGTTATTGACTGTTTTCGATTGATTATTCTTCATAATTTTTTATTTAAATTTTGAATTCAATTCAAAACAAACGGTACAGCAGGCGAGCGTTGTTGTTGCGTTGCAAAGAAAAAGTGGAAGAGAATTAAGGCTGGGGGAGAATAACACAAAGGCGGCAAGAGAAATCTTTCGTTGATTGGAATTTTGCACAGAAAACACTTGTTTGTTAATCTTTAGTTGCTTGCGGCGGGTGGGTGTATGGCATGTAAATCACAAAACACAAAAAAATGGAGGAAATGAGGGAGAAAAACAAACTCGAAAATTCAAACTTAAAGGACTCATAAAACTTCTTAGACTGGCATTGTGGACACCACTAAGTTTCGTGATCGTGGTGCATGGATAGATGGATAGACACTTGGGTTGATTGATTTCAATTTTAATTTTGTTTTGGGAAATTTTTCTTTTGTTTGGCACTGTTTTGTGGTTGTTGCAATTGTGTTTTATTCCTTTTCTTTGCTTAGTCCTTCTTTGGGTTATTGCAGTGGATGACGTTGGTGGTGGTGTTTTCGTTTCTGTCGCAGCTGTTGTTGTTGTTGGTGTTTTTGGCGATTTGCTTTACAACGAGGAATTCCATTGCACCTAAAGGTATTTTTCTTGTTTTTTGTTGTTGTATTTACGTTTCGTTGTTTTTATTGTTTTCTCTTTTGGCTTACTTTTCGCTCGTTAATTTTGTTTTACTCGCGACTCTTGTAATGTGGCCAGCTGCTGCACACATGGACGCAACGCACACACACACTCAACACAGCATTTGCGCACTCGTAGTACTTCGTATTAACCAGCCAGCCAGTCAGCCAACAAACCGACAACGACAACTCAACTTGTAACTTGTTTTTGCCGTTTCTCTTCTTTGTTTCTCGCATTCGTCGTCGTCGTCTTTCGTTTAAAATAATTTCACACAGAAACACTCACGATCGATGGATGGATGTCACAACGAAATTAAAACAACAAAAATAAATTATATTTTTTTCATTTAATTTTTTCGCCAATTTTCGAAATCTTTTATCGTGGAATTGAAAATAATTTTTTTGAGAAAAAAAAATTATAAACAAAAAAGAACTGAAAATAAAAAAAAACACAAAGAAACAAAATTAGCACAGAGCGGAGAGAGGGACATAAAACTTGGAATTAGACCACAAAAATTGCAAAAATTACCAGCTCACTTTTCACTATTTTCCGTGTTTTCCTTCACATTTTGTTATTTTATTTTACACATTTTCCAAAAAACAAATTATTTATTTTGAATTTTAATTTCTTGTCAAATGTAATGGAATTTTTCTAGTTTCTTTCTTTTCTATTCCACTTGCTTTGATGTATTTTTTATTGTTTTATTTTTGCGTTTGTCCGTATTCCGTAGTTTTCACTCTTTGCGATCGTTTCGAACCATTTGTTTGCCAAGACTGGAGTTGAAGTTTGAATCTGGTTTAGATTCGAGCTTGGGACTCACTCACTCAGTCAGTCACTCTCTGACATGTGCTGTTTCGCGTCTGGCTTGTGGTGGGTTTTGTTTGTTTATTTTGTTCGCTCTTTCGCTACTACTTTTATTTTTGTTGATCGTCGTTGCTCGATCGACAAACATGTTCGTTTGCAACAAGACTTTTTATCGAGGAGTTGTACCTGAGAGTTGATCGTAAATTCTTTCTGGCATTGAAAAAGGAAAGAGTTGCCAAAATTTATAATTGCTCGAATTAATATTAGGGTTCACCTGCGATGGAGAAAATCATATATGGAGTTTGTCGTTCCTTTTGCGTCTTATAAATTCGTTAAGGCCGTACCTGATAAAGGTTGCGGTTCTAATGGTTTTAAGCGTTTCGAATCAGACATAAAAAGGTTTCCTAATGAGAATCTGAAATCTTAAATCTCAGATAATTTCATCCTAATTCACAGCACATTTTACACCCAAAATTCGCAAAATATGTAAAATAATGTCGGGAACATATATCGATAATTTTAAGGATCAATGATTGTCATCTATCAAATCTTCTACGATACCAAATTTGAAAAAATTAAGTGGGTAACAGTACGTTTATATATAAATGGGTTAACCGACTGGGTTTGGATTAAAATTGTCATATCCATTACTTATACTTCAAATAAATCCTCTCAAAGTAGGTTAACCCTACAAAAAGTTCTAACGTAAACATGGCATAAATGTAACTAGGATTATCAAAATACCGAATATCGGTGGGTATCGTTATAGGTGCGCTATAGGAAAACGTGGAACTAAATATTCAATGTTCTGCCACCGGGCTAGAACCCATTATGAAATACAAATACCAATTTTTAGACAAATTCGTCGAAAAAATGTGGCAAAAATCATCAAAATATCGAACATCGGGAGGTATCTTTATATGGGGGATATACCAGAACGTAAACCTATATATGCAATGTTTCGTCACACGAGCTAGAACCCATTACGAACTACAAATACCAATTTCTGGACAGAAATGTGGCAAAAATCATCAAAATAACGAATATCGGGAGGAACCGTTATATAGGGGTTATACCAAAACGTGGACCTATACATACAATGTTTCGCCACACGATCTAGAAACCATTATGATCTACAAAATCAAATTTTTAAAAAAATCCGTGAAAAAAATGTGGCAGAAATGATCAACTTAGTCAATCGACTTAGAATTTTATGCTGATTATGAATATATATACTTTATGAGGTCTACGACTTATATTTAGGGATGTTATAAACGGAATGAAAAAGTTTCCAATGTAGATGGAACTTTTAAATTTCGCCGTAGTGTAGCAATTTGTGGAAAACACTTTAGCTTCCGACGAAATAAAGAAGGTTGACAAAATTTCACTCTGGTATATTTTATGTCTGTAAAATTTGTATTGAAAATGGACCATATAGGTCCAATTTTGGAACTTTTTTCTATGATAAAAAATTGCAGAGATCCACGCTTTCGCATAACCCCATATAACGATGTGTTCGGTATTTCGATGATTTAACATTTTTATATTTTAACATAATTATTTATATCAAACTAGATAATTGGCTATAGAGGTTCACGTTTTCGTCCCCATAGACCCATGTAACTGTAGCACCAGATATTCAAAATGTTTATAATTTAAGCGGTTTTTTTTGTCAATCCTGTGTATTGTATAAAATAAATATTTTTAAAACGAGTGATTTGAAGAAATGTATATTGCGAGACGAACAGTAAATACATTAACCTTTTTTGCCATGAAATTGAAAAATTAAACAGTTTGGCCAACAATGAATAATGGGTTAATAATGCAGCTAAAATCATCAAAATACCGAATATAGGATTTTCGGGGCCATAAAAAGACCTGGACCTGCATAGACAATTTTCTGGCATATAGTACCCCTTACGAACTCTAAATACGAAATTTGAAATAGCTCCGGTGAATAATGTCGCTAAAATCATCAAAATACCGAATATTGGAAATTACCGTTATATGGAGGCTATACGAAGACGTGGGCCTGCATACGCAATTTTTTGCCATAGGCTGTAGTACGCATTACAAATTCTGAATACGAAATTCAAAACAACTCCGGTGAATAATGTCCCTAAAATCTCAAAATATCGAATATCGGGGTATATACGATATATACGGGGCTATACGATATCTTCTAATATATATAGACATTTCTCCTCCAGGGAGAAAAAACTTGTAGCATGGATTTTTAGACAAAGACCGACAGGCGGGCATATGACCGTCTTAGAATTTAACACTGATCAGGAATATATACATTGTCATGTATAAAATTATTATTTCGATAAGTTACAAATGGAATGACGTAATATAGCCTCTACACTAGGTATGGTGGAGGGTAAAAAAAATAAGGATGACAAACAGGAAATTCTGTGTTTGTGTTTGTGACCGGGATAAAACACGGTGTGGATGTTTTGGCAAATACTTTCTAAATGTCCTACGTTCGGGGCTTTGAAATCGGTTTGGGGTATTTCTAAGACCGGCTACGCGAACGAAATTTTTTCTAAATGCGATACTTTTCACGCAACCGCTACCTTTTAAAAATTTACGTGATTTTTTGTCATAGGCATCTATTACGAACTTTAAATACGAAATTTGAAGCAATTCTGGTAAATAATGTCGCAAAAATCATCGAAATAAGTAATATTGGGTGGTACCGTTATATGGGGGCTATATGAAAAAGTGGAGCGGCAAAGTTTTAGTCTTCTATCTAAATTCGTTCAAAATATAGCGTGATTACCACAGTCAGACAGACAGATGAACAGATGCACAGACGTAAGGACAACGGCAAATCGACTTAGAATTTTACGTTGGGTCTGACATGAGTATTTCGAGGAGTTACAAACGAAATGACAACGTTAATACACCCTCCATAGTATGGTGGATTGTATAAAAATGAGCCGAAAAACAAAAAAAATGGCTTACGATTTCCAACAATAAAATATGTTTTAGAATTGCTTGACCTCATATATCAATCACCGGAAGTAGAAAAAAGCTAGTTGCAAGTGATTGCAAGAAAAAAATTGTTCGGCAAGAATTTGCAAATCCGCAGTAAAAGAATTGCCAAAAAAAAACTCGCGAACAATTTTTTAAATTTTTTTCCAGAGCTAGGTATTTTTTCCTTGATTCCGGTAAAGTATTTTCTTGGGGGAGAGACCACGATGCCCAGATATTTGGCCCAAAAGTGCGGACACAAGACCCGGGTTTTCATGAATGTAATCGGCTCTTCCGGGTTCAAAGACCCATATCTCCGGATCCAAGGAATGTTGTAGCATTTTGGAAAGATTATATTATGAACTAGGATTTTGTGCATACATTTTGTGAACTACCGAAATGGGACCATTTTCGACTTTAGGGGAATTTTTAAAAAATTCGGTTCCAAACAATGCAACTCCGAAAACATTTTTAATAACCACATTACGTGACCACTTGTTTAATAAGTATTAGCATTCAAGAAACCTGTACAGTAATGTAGGGTCTAAACTGGGCCCGTCCCCCAATAAAAAAAATACTGAAATGAGATCATTTTCAACTTTTGGGGATTTTTTTAAAAAATTCGCTTCAAAAAATGCAACTCTGAAACCATTTTTAATAACCACATCACGTGACCACTTGTTGAATGGGTATTAGCATTCATGAAACCTATACAGTAATGTAGGGTCTAGCCCGGGTCCGTCCCCAATAAAAAAAATACTTTCCCTGTATTAGGATTCAAATACCTACCTCTGGCAACTAAAGTTAAGCTCAAATTTTAGGGTAACCAGACACACCTATCGGTATATGCTAATGGCGTATTTTTGGAGTTAGGATGTCAGTCATTATTAAGCGTAGTTATATTTTATGATCTCTATAATGTATTCGAGCCCACCCTCTTGAAAAATTATTTTACCTATCCATTTTGCTAGATAGGAGTTATGCCACCGATACTACATTATTCACTTTATTTATTCTGAACCAAAAATTGAAATTTATTTCATCACTTCCTGTTGAAAAATTCCTTTCTCAAAAGACCGATTAAAATTTTGAGCTATTCCTCTCACCCCCAGATGGGTATTCTTTTTAGATACATTTCTTACTAATCTTCTCTTTCTACCAATTGGTGTGACATTTTCGATGATTTGCATGGAATTCGGGTTGGGTGGTAGTGTTGGTGGCTGTTAGCTGTTTTAACTGTTGCCGATAAGCAACAGAATGTTTGGTTGGTTCTTCTTCTCCTTCATGGAGGTGTCTTCAGAAAGCGACAGCATTGCACAAACGGACGGACGGACGGACCGACAAACAAACGTCAATGGTGGTACGCACATTTCGAGGCAAAACAAACGAGCGAAAAAAGAGAAATCGGAAACTTGAAAACTGAAGAAAACTGGATTTTTTGTGCTTCTTCTTTTGCTAAACAACAACAGCAGCAGCAGCGACAGCAACAAAAAGCGCAACTTTAAGAATCTGAGTGTGGTGTTTTTGTTTTTTTTTTTTTTTTCATTTCAGCTAAACTTGAATTGCAAGCTCACATTGATATGTTGCTGCTGTTGGGCTTGTATTTGTTACTATTCTCATTGTTTTTGTTGTTGTTGTTTTGCAAAGGAATGTTTTTGTGTGAACACTGGTTGGTGCTGCGCCGCTGCTGCTGCCACTGTTGGTGATAATTTTTGCAATTTTTTTTACATCATACAGAGATTTCTGTGGCATTTTCACAACTTCGAAACGAACTCACACTCCCTGACAGGGCATGCATACCTACATTTATTTGATATGTATCCCAAAAGTGTAGAGAGAAGATATCACAATACGCTGCCGAGGATAATAATAATGGGTATGTATGTATGCGTGTATAATCCAACAAGGCAAGGCGGTAACACAATAAAGATTTTTTTCACAATATTTTTGCTTCGCTTAGATGCTTAACTTATTAGTTGAATTTTCTTTTTCATTGGAACGGGATGATGGAGATTAACACTGTTGCTTTCACAATTTCAATTTCTCGTTTGCAATTAAAAGCGAATGATTGATGTTTCATTTGCAGATCATTTCACAATTTTAAGTTTTTTTTTTTCACTTTTGTCAAACAGCAATTTGCTCCCAAATTAACTTTGGCCAATTTGTTGTTATCACTGTGTGGCTTTTAGTTGTTGCTATTTCACCTTTAATTTGTTAAAACAAATAAATTCACAATAACAATTACTTTTTACCGCTTTTCACTTTTCCCCGCTTACGATGTTATATTCAAAAGGGGGGACCACTTGTTTTTTGCAATTTCTAAATCACACACACACACACGGCTATCTACATTTCCCGGTAGTTGAAGTTGTTGTTATCGCAATACGGATATTTTTTTCGCTATTCAATTGCTTTTTTATTTTCTTCTTTAATTTGTGTATTTTTTATTCGTTTGTTGAATGAATGAATGTCACCACAGCAACAGTTTTATTTGTTGTTGGTGTGTAAAATAGTAAACAAAAAATTCTCGTAAAAACACGACGAAATTATCCGACATCACGACCGCACACACCTAATACGTTCTCTCATTTAAAACTGAAATCAAAACATATGCGACGGCAACGTCACAGCTCAAATTCAGAATGAGAGTAGATAGGGTTCAGTAAATCGACTTTTGATTCAGCAAACGAAACGTTTTTCAAGTGAGAGAGAGAGAGTGGATGAGGAAAAGAGAGAAATTTCAGCGAATTTGGACAACGAAATGGAATATAAGAATAACTTTGGAAGCAACATAGGGCGTTGCCACATCAAAAAAATTAAATTAAAAGTACCACAATTGGTATTAAGCAATATGTTGGGATATTTGTATAGATGGCGTTGAAGTCAGTTAAAATAACGTATAATTATTTTTGTTGTAAACGAAGAATTTTTGGAAAATCTATTCCTAAGGTCACAGTAATAAAAGGTATTCTCATTTGCTAAATCGACAATGACAACACTTTATCACCGTGCCAGCCCTACACTTTGTTGTGTAATTTTGCATACCCTCAGCCATATGGCTACAGAGTGTATATATCACTTGATACAGTCAAAACGTGCCTAGTCAAAATAACGGTTTTATACCCTAGGTTTCTTTGGACCAAATCCGTTTCATGACATTTGGGGTCGATCTAGCGATGTCCGTCCGTCCGTCCTTCAACACCTAAGGTATCTGTTAGTCTAATAATGAAAAATGGTTGCCTGAAAAACTGTCTTCACACAAGGCAAAGGAAAGGCAAGATTGATTGAAGAAAAGGAAGCTTAATATGAAACACAGGGACATCAAACGTTTCAAATTCTCCACTTTGATAAGTAAGTACATTGGTAAAGTGATATAATTTATTTTTATAAACTTTTTAGTTTACAATTTATGGCCCTCACACAAGGGAATCATCGTCCCAACAATCTCGTGTCATGTACGAATTTTTGGAACTATAATGTCCCTACCTGGACACTGAGTCCTTACAATATTCGTTGTCATCTTGGTAAAATTTCATATGGTAAGTAGTAATTATAAAATGGTATTTTTAAAAAAATTAAAAAATCAATTTCACTTTTTTAAGTTAAAATAGTGGTCCATTCAAGGAGGAGATGTCTTCACAATATTTGTGGGCACAATTTCATATGTTAAGTAATAATTATAGACTTGTATTGTTTTTTTTAATAAAGTTTCCTTTTTAAGGCTTTTATTTAATAAATTAATACAATTCTTTAGTGAATATATACCATATGAAATGGTGCCAATGTGCCCATGAAAATTTTGAGGATATAGACCTATAGTTCCAAAAATTCGTACATGACACGATAGTGGCGGAAGCTATAAATTTAATTAAAATTAAAAAAAAAAAAACAATTATTATTTACCATATGAAATGGGGCCGAGATGCCTATAAATATTTGGAGGACTCCTCTTACAGTTCCATGGTACGAGATTGTGTGTAGTACCATATATACCATAGACTGCATTTTAACTGTAGCGCATGTTAATTTTTCAATTTGTAATTCAGGGTGAGATGAAAAAAACTGCAACCAACTTCAGACTGCTGTCATTTCCAAGCCACTCGTCCGACAGCTGTTAAAATTATTCCAGCGACAGCTCATTATATTGTTTACAAGCGTACAAAAGCATTTTGGTGAGAATTTTCCAGAAAAGAAAAGTTATTCGTGCTGGAATTCAAGCGTGATAGTGTGATTTCTTTATATTTGGCTGAAAACAACAAGTGGCTATCGTTAGGGCACTCCAGCATTTGAATGTGAATAAATCTTTTGTGTCTCGTACCATCGCTCGTTACCGTGATACTGGTAGCTTAGTGGACGGAAGAAAAACAGCAACATCAGCAGAAGTGATTCGAAAAGTAAAGAAGCTACTTGATCGAATCCCGCGTCGCAGTGGCCGAAAAATAGCTCGTGAGCTGAACATATCACAATATTCCATTCGGCAAATATTGAAAAATCAACTCGGGGCAAAGCCATTGCAATTCCAAAAAGTGCAAGAACTTACACCGCAACAGAAAGAAAATAGACTCAAAAGAGCTAAAGAGTTGCTTCGCTTGGCCGAAAGTGGTGAACTGCCGAATTTAGGTTTCTCCGATGAGAAAACATTCGTTGTTCAGCAGTTTGTAAACAAAGAAAATGATCGTGTTTACTTGCCAAAGAGGTCAGCTGAAATTTTTGTGCACCTTCGGTTGGCCACCAGAACTCAAGCACCGGCCATGGTGATGGTGTGGACCGCCATAACAGCCGATGGTCGCTCTCCGGTCTTATTAATCGACCGTGGCATCAGAATAAATGCCGAATATTATCGTGAAAATATTGTGGAGGGTGTATTAAAGCCTTGGGCCCGCAAACTTTTTGGCCGCAGCCCTTGAACATTCCAACAGGACTCAGCACCATTGCACTCAGCACGCGCCACCCAAGAATGGTTACAAAATGAGGCTCCTCGCTGCATTTCCAGCGCACAATGGCCACCAAAATCTCCAGATACCAATCCGTTGGACCATTGTGTATGGAGTATTTTGAAAGGCAAGGTTGGCACTAAAAATACCAAAGTGTTGATCACCTCAAGCAAGCGCTTCGCCGGTAATGGGCCGAAATATCGCAGAGCAACATTCGGGCAGCGTGTGATGGTTTCATTGGCCGTTTGAAGGCCATAATTCGTGCCAAAGGTGACCAATTCGAACAAATCTAAACTTAATCTAAAATTTGATGCTATATCCGACATTTTTTGCTTTCAGTCAAATAAAATTAAAAAAAATGTAAAAATTGTGGCGTTTGACTGTGTTGCAGTTTTTTTTATCTCATCCTGTATGTATATGCTTTGTAGGATATACCTCCAAACTATGGTGTATAATAACAAAGCTAACCCTCATATGATGCATGTCCTTCCTCACATTCCTGGGTGGGAGAGTTTTATCCACCACATGAAGGTTTGGGTGACTTCCACTTTCACCATTCATTCATTTCTGTTTGGGTTTGTGTTCTTGTTGACCCGCTTGCTATTGGACCTGATTTGGCTGTTATGGCTGATTGTTATGATTAATGTTGTTGCCACGTGTTTTTGGAGTTGAGTTGTTCCATAAACTTTATACTTAAGATCGACGGCGACACCTAGTTTTCAAATCCAGAATTTCTATTCATTTAGCAAAGACATATACCATAAGCTATACAAATCAAATTCAATGTTGTCATACACACCTTGCAAACGACAAAATCCACCATGTTATTCGAACACATCATTGACTGTTATATTATTTGAAGAAGAAGTGGCCAAATATCGTAAATTTGAAGGTAAAAATTTACCGTTGCCCTATGAAATATTTTACCCCAATTATTTTTTGAAGTTTAATATTTTATTGTTGCAAAACGGTCAGGCTTAATGCCTTTATCGTTGTTTTTATAAAAACAACGTTTGTTTATTAGTGGAGAACGATGGTAATGTTTACCAGGGGGTTTCGGAAAGAGCCACCAATCCTCATCAGTTCCCTTATTTTTGGTCTGGGATATTCTCCCCAGAAGTCATTTTTAAAATAACTTCTACGACAAAAAGCATTTTTTACCCAAGTGACAAGATCGTAAGCTCAATAGAAGAGGAACCAAAGAATGAAATAAAACTAAATTTCTTTTGGAAAATCTTCTAAATTTTACAACCGCACTTATAAACATTTACATCTTTCTCCACTTGTTATGCTTTCGTTCTACTTGAACGAAGTAGCATAACCATGTAAGTTGGTTTTGTCTGGTACAACAAAAACCCCTTCGTCGACCGTGCCTTGTCTATTATTAGAACAGTGTTGGCTTTGTTTGTTCGGGAAAAACAAGGGAATTGATGAGAATTGGTGGCTCTTTCCGAAACCTAGGTATTCCCTGCATTACCCCCTGGTAAACATTACCATCGTTTTCAACTAACAACCAAAAGTTGTTTTTATAAAAACAACAATAAGGGGATTAAGCCTGACCATTTTGCAGCAACAAAATACTATGGTATCCCGAACAAACAAGCCAACATTATTCTGTTTAATATTTTATTTTAACAAAAAAAAACTTTTTTAATTACGGTCGGTGCCAAAGTTTGCACTTTTATTTTTGGATAAATTAAAAGCAGAATATGTGTGGCAAATTGTACAGGGTGAGATAAAAAAAAAAACTGCAACAAAGTCAAACGCCATAATTTTTACATTTTTTTTAATTTTATTGAATGAAAGTAAAAAATTTCGGAAATAGCATCAAATTTTAGAATAAGTTTAGATATGTTCAAATTGTTCACCTTTGGCACGAATTATGGCCTTCAAACGGCTAATGAAACCGTCACACGTTCTGCTTTCCAGACACAAAAGTCCAACGGATTGGTATCCGGAGATTTTGGTGGCCATTGTGCGCTGGAAATGAAGCGAAGAACCTCATTTTGTAACCATACTTGGGTGGCGCGTGCGGAGTGCGATGGTGCAATTCCACTACAAATCTCTCCAAAAAAATACAAAATACGTTTTTAATTTTTTTATAATATTTTTATTTCATGTTTTCATTTTCATACACATCTACTAAATAGTTACATATGTATATGTCTTTGGTGTGTCTGTGCAATATATAACGAATTATTTTAAATAGTTGTACCAAATTTCGGGATGAGATCATTTAAACGAATGCTATTTCTTTTTGTTTTCTTATCGTCAATGTTATCGATTGTATCGATTTTTTACCTGACCAAAGGAATCCAGACTTTTACTATATGCTAAGATGATATCACTTGTTCGGAGGTCATCATTATTCGCAGATCGGAGTACTTAGTTTCATAGTTGTTGGTTGGTTGGTTGCTCGGTTGTGATTTTTACAACGACATAATGCTCAAAAATTTTATTTTGTGTAAAATATCTACGTGTTTGTATGTGTGGTGTGTATGAAGCTTTACTACTCTCTAAATATGCAGGTATCGGATTTTCGGTTTCAGGAATTAGTTCCATATTCGTTGTACAATAATTGCCATTAGTTTGATTGACATTCATGTTTTTTGCTTGCGATTTATGTACGTCCTGGAGCACTGGGTACATATTTCTCGGAGGGTTGATATTGCCATTGGGCGCAAATTTCATCTTGTTCGGTTTGGTTGTAGCCAGCTCTGGAAAAAGTAAAATGAATATCATAGAAGAAGGTGGACTTGGATATTTCGCAATGAACACAAATTCAAAATTAAAAAGAAAAAAAAAACACACAAACAAAAATTCTACTTTTTAAAAGATTTATTTAAATCAAAAATAAAATCTTTACAATACTGTAATGTACAACTTAAAACTAAACCTAACTACATACATACATAATGCATAATATGGCAATACTGATTAACTAAAAACAAATCGAATCGAAGTGCAATAAATTTACAGTGCAACAATGAATGCGATTCTAAGCATCTGGCAACTCTCTAAATCAGAGAGAGAGAGAGAGAGTTCAGTCTTTCGAATGGACAGTGGTACACCATTAATAATACCAATTACTTTGATATGGTGTATACTCTTGATATCTGTTACCACCTCTGGGCCGATTATATCTGTAGTAATTCGGTCCCCCTCCGGGTGGCAAATCCCGGCTTACCGGAGCATTTAAACTATCCCACAAAACTCTCGGACTACGGACAATTTCGCGTAGCAAATTGCGTGCAGCCAAACCGACTGAAGCCAGTTTGACGCCAACACGACGCGAGGCACTCTTCACATTCTGACCCACATTATAGAATGGATTGAATGCCGGTGAAGTTTGCAACGAACGGCCACCCTCAAAGTAGGGATATTGGTCATATTGTGGGATGGGATTCGTTATGCCATAGGGCTTTGAGAGGATTTTTCGTATTAGATTTCCCGCATTGGGTGGAACATATAAATCGGCTGAACGGAACTCAATGTCACACTGATTTGAACTGTAATAGAAATCATCAAACCTTTGATGAACCGAACAGGGACTGCGTTCCTGGAAACAGGTGACCTGGACAACGTTGTAGAAAATGGCGCCCAATGTATTTGCAGTTTCTATAAAACAAAAAGACTGTTTAAAACGGGAACAGGAGCTAAAATAACAAATTAAATACCTGTATTAAGAGATTGTAGACAGCGTCTGAAACGAGCATCACAATCACAGTGGGAGCGTGTAAAAGTGCCGGTGTTGCAGAGGCCGCGTCTGCACTCGCCCACATTTAAGACATTCGGACAATGATCATGCTCACGACAGCAACGATCCTCATCGGCATGTACACCCAGGTCATTGTAATCAATTGCAGCGGTTCCTAGGGGGAAACATTTATTTTAAATTTCGCAAGTAATCCCAAAAAACTCAAGCCTTACCTGGTCCACACCATTTTGTACCGGGATAGATAAAACCCAAGCCGCCACGGAACTCATGACCATGAGAGCCAGAATTTTTGCACACATCTTCCAATTCCATTACCGATTCTCGGGGTACTTGTCGTATACGCCTTGGATCTGCCTGTAATAACATCCGTTGTATGTCACCCCTGAAAACGGAAATGGAAGTAGTTAGCATAATTTTGATATGGACTTGAATCTCCAAAAACTCACCTATCGGTATGCATTTTACAAAATGGATAACGTGAAGATAATTCCACCATAACTGTCATTGTCATATCGGAAATGAGGACTGCTGATCCATTTACCGGTCTGACAGGCATTGTTACGAACAATGCCACCGTCACAACCAGCAGGAAGAGTTTGAATGACATGCTGAAAATGGGAAGAGAAAAAAAAAATAATAATTATTTGGGGTCTTGGAAATATCGATCAGAGAGAGAGAGAGAGAGACAGAGGACGGATAGTTATTTCTTGAAAAATATTTAGTAGTATAGTTTGTCATGCCGATTCTAACACCTCGAAATATACATTTTAGACCCCACAAAGTATATATATTCTTGATCAGCATAAAATTCTATGTCGATTTAGCTGCCGAACGAAATGAAGTAGGTTGACAAAATTTTACTCAAATGTGTACTATGTCTTCAGGACTTTTGGTATTGAAAATGGGCCACGTAGGTCCACGTTTTATTATTTTTAAGATTTTAACAGAATTTTTCACATTTTTTATTTTTTTGAAAATTTTCAAATTTTATCCAAATGGTCGTGGGTATACAAAGTTCGGCCCAGCCGAAGTTACAGCTTTTTTAATTGATTTTTCTATTGTTTTTAGAAAGTTCGGATTACCAAATAACATTAACATTTGGTGCTTTTCGTATAATTTTAGTACTAATTTGAAAAATCGTTCCATCGCTCAATCCTCGGCACCAACAATTATCGTAATATAACATTTCACGGTTTTAGCTTTATCCCTTCACCCGATACCAAAGTTAGTACCATTTAATACTTTTGTACAATTATAGTACATATTTCCAAACCCACCTCCAAATCTCAATCCCAGACACCTTAATATCAAATTTCGGGATTCCAACTCTATCCCTTCATCCAATACTAAATTTTATAAAATTTAGTACGCATACATAAAATGTAGACAGTCATCCAAAATTGGCACCATTTAGTACTTTTCGGGTAATTATAGTGCGCATTTGCAAAACCAATTCCAGATATCAACAGAGACCTCAATATGAAATTTCGGGATTCCAGCTCTATATAAGCACTCTATACCAAATGTAGTAATCTTGGTACTTTTCGTAAAATTTAATGCTCATTTGCAAACCCGACCCATATTTCAATCCTAGGCACCAACAGTTGCCGCAATATAAAATTTCACGGTTTCAACTCTGTCCCTTCACGCTATGCCAAATTTAGTACCATTTAATACTTTCGTACAGTTATAGTACATATTTCCAAGACCACCTCCATATCTAAACCACGGAAAGCAACAATAACATCTACAAACAAGTTTAGGACTTTTGCTTTATCCCTTCACCCCAATACCAAATTTAGTACCATTCAGTACTTTTCGTACCGAAACCACCTCCATATGTCCAGGCCACACGTGAACAGTGACCCCAATACCAAATTTTAGATTTCAAGCACTATCTGTTCAACCAATACCGAGCATAGTACTATTTAGTACTTTGAGGGCACATACATACATACATACATTTCCAAAACTACCTTTTTATCACAAAACTATCACCAAATACAAAATTTCAAAACTCTAAGTTCAACCGTTTACCTTAAACCAAACCCTTTCAAATTAAGTGTCATTTCGTACAGTTTGCACACTAAGTACAGATTACTAAAATCACCTTCATATATCAATCTTATTGGAACAACTCTAGTTTAGTAAAAACTCTTCGATTTTTTTCGAAATTTTTTTCCAGAGATAGGTATTTTTACCCTGATTGCGGGAAACTATTATTTTCTTGGGGGACGGACCCGGGACCCCAGATTTTTGACCCGAAAGTCCGGGTTCAAGACCCGGCCTGGACCCGGATCCACTTACCAACGACGGCTACGCGAAATAAACCCTTTGTTTATTGAAAACATAATTTTAATGAACTGGTTAGAATCGGGTTATGCGGATGGAAAGACGATATCTATATTGTATCTATATCTATATTCCAACGATATCTATATTGCCTATATCGGGTAATTGGATCCGGGTCTAGTCGGGATCTTGAACGCGGACTTTCGGGTCAAAAATCTGCGGTCCCGGACCCGTCCCCCAAGAAAAAAATAGTTTCTCGGGATCAAGGTAAAAATACCTACCACTGGAAATAATTTCGAAAAAAATAAAGAGTTTTTGCTAAACTAGAGGTAAGCCATCTTAATTTCCAACCATGATTCTTATATCGAATTTTTAACTCTATCCGTTCACATAATACCAAATGGTACCATTTTAGAAGTTTATTGCCATTTTAGAACATTTCGTAACCTTAGTGTTCAAACTCCCTCCACCAGTGGTTCTCATTCAAAATTTCAGATTTTTAGCTCATTCCGTTTGTCCAATACCAATTATTCCACTTTTAATACATTTTAGAACTTTTCTTCGTACCCTTTAGTACGAGTTTCCAAAAACCCAGCCTTATCAAGGAAATATAAAATGAATTGATTGCAAATGTTTCACTTAGTTTATTTCCGTACTCTGATTAGTTACAACGCATTTTTCGACATTGGACTATTTTGAAATATGAGAAGATCTACTTTAGTATTGCTAATCCGGTCGAATGAATTCCAATTAAATAAAAAATCTAGATAGCAAGTTGTATGTTAACGCGCTATTAGTTTTACATTGCCGACACACTGTGCTCTCTCTCTCTCTCTTTCACTCTCTGCAGTTAAATACTAGAGCCTTGCACCTCTTTCCGGGTTTCATCAATTCATACTGTCACTCATAAATCTTTTAATTATGAATGATGTTTGATCGGAAATCATAATAGAAAATTTAAACTAACAAGGAACAATTTCAAACAAATAAATAAAATTAATTATAAGCCATTCCAATTCCCGACTCTCCGCCGATATCATAGAGTACTCGATTGACCGAGAATAGAGTGATTAATCAGTTCATATCACCACCGATGACAAGATGACTTTATTGACTCGATAATCGCGTCAATTCGCTGAATGTTTGACATGGAATTGATTTTGCAATTAATCTGCGGAACAAATTCTCAAATTTCAATCCAAAACGTCAGAGTTTTAAGTTCAAATAAGTCGGCGCTGATGCGAACAATGGCACGCATGCCGCAATTAAAAGTGAAAACCAAAAATCATTTATTTACATGAGATTCGAATGTTCAAATCCGATGATAATGCCTCAGCCGAATTTATCATCAAATGATGAATAAGCAAATAAACAACTCAAAACTATTCGACAGCATCGGCAGCAGCAGTCCATTGACCGTCGCGACGGTTATTTATGTTATTGAAATGCCAATATTTTTCTTGGGTTTTGTTTTGATATTCATTCGAATTAGATACGAACGGAATACTGACAGTGTAGGCAGGTCAGTATTTCACATTTCGATAATGAGGTTAATGCATAGTGATCGAACAATACTTAATAATAAAGTTTTAAAAAATCAACGGCTATTTTTTGTTATTAATTAGATCATTATTTCGAAATAATGCAAATTTTTTATTTGTGTTTTGATTTGTTTACAAAAAAAACTCGTTTTTTATGGAAATTTCCACTCTGTTGTGATGATAAAGGATAGTAATTGTTCCAAGGAAGTCAATTGAATTGTGGAAATATGTTTATGATTTACAGCAAAGAAGCTGCAAGTTGGAATTAATACAAAATTCAATTATTGACATTGGAATTGACTCAAGGGAGTACACCGCGGAAAACTCATTATGATTGAGGGTTATATATAATACTGGCAAGTGTTTGTTATTTCGTCAGTGAGAAGTCCCCATTAAAATTTTAGATTCGTTCAAATAGTTCGTGTTAGACCTTTTTAAACCCTCCACCATACATACAGGGTGATACGAAAAAACTGCAACCAAGTTCAGACCGCTGTCATTTCTAAGCCACTAATTCTAATTATTACGATAATTAAAATCATTATATTGTTTACAAACATACAAATGCATTTTGGTGAGAATTTTCCAGAAAAAAAGTTATTCTTGATGGAATTCAAGCGTGATAGTGTGATTTCTTTCTATTTTCCTGGAAAACCACAAATGGCTATCGTTAGAGCACTCCAGCATTTAAATGTGAATAAATTTTTTGTGTCTCGTACCATTGCTACTTACAGTGACACTGGTAGAGTAGCCCTACGTCAAGGAAGTGGACGGAAGAAAACAGCAACATCAGCAGAAATGTTTCGAAAAGTAAAGAAGCGACCTGATCGAAACCCGCGTGGCGGTGGCCGAAAAATGACTCGTGAGCTGAACATATCGCAATATTCCATTCGGCAAATATTGAAAAAATGAGCTCGGGGTAAAGCCATTGAAATTCCAAAAAGTGCAAGAACTTACACCGCAACGGGAAGAAAATAGACTCAAAAGAGCTAAAGAGTTGCTTTGCTTGGCCGAAATTGGTGAACAGCCGAATTTGGTTTTCTCCGATGAGAACACATTCGTTGTCCAGCAGTTTGTAAACAAACAAAATTATCGTGTTAACTTGTCAAAGAGGTCCGCTGAAAATGTGCACCTTCGGTTGGGCACCAGAACTCAAGCACCGGCCATGGCGATGGTGTGGGCCCCATAACAGCCGATGGTCGCTCTCCGCTCGTATTATAGACCGTGGCATCAGAATAAATGCCGAATATTATCGCGAAAATATTCTGGAGGTTATATTAAAGCCTTGGACACGCAAACATTTTGGCGCAGACCTTGGACATTCCAACAGGACTCAGCACCATCGCACACAGCCACCCAAAAATGGTTACAAAATGAGGTTCCTAGCCTCATTTCCAGCGCAGAATGGCCACCAAAATCTCCGGATACCAGTCCGTTGGACTAAAGTTGGAAAGCAAGGTTGGCACTAAAAAATACCAAATTGTCGATCACCTCAAGCAAGAGCTTCGCCAGGAATGGGCCAAAGTAACGCAGAGCAACATTCGGGCAGCGTGTGACGATTTCATTGGCCGTTTGAAGGCCATAATTCGTGGCAAACGTGACCAATTCGAACAAATCTAAGCTTATTCTGAAATTTGATGCTATTTCCGACATTTTTGCTTTCATTCAATAAAATTTAAAAAAAAAAGTAAAAATTTTGGCGTTTGACTTTGTTGCAGTTTTTTTATCTCACCTGTACACGGTGGCTATACGAAAACGTTGACCTATGTGGCTCA